AAAAAGGACACATTCGACCTCAAATCGGATATGCTATAAAGACAGTAGAAGAAATTCTTTCTGTCACCAGTAATCAAGAAGACTTTCAATTGCTCTCTCAAAAGATATTACAAGTCCATAAAACAAAAAACTATAAATATTTACATATAGGATTAATCCAAATAGTAAAACCCTTGACTCGTTTAGGACTAAATAATTCTATCCTAGTCTGCTTACGCGATACTAGGCATAATAAATTTTCTGATTCACTGCTAGGTATGGTTACTAGTTTATGTAGTGGACCAATATATTTCAACTGTTTTCCAAATTATTTTGTATCTCTTACAGATCCAAATATTTTAAATGTTTTATCTTTAAATCTCAAAACTCAAGGATTTAATATGCTCACACAGACCACCTAAGATTCGCCATGTCGTCATCCGTCACCATCACCGACATCCAGCTATCTTCTGCACCTGCCAGGTATCCCTCTTCAGCAAGAATCTTATCCTCGCATTCCTTCATCGTCAAGCAAACGAATATCAGCCACTAGAGTTTCCTTCGTCACCAAGTAATCAATCGCAGCCACATGCTCTCCTCCGACGAACCTCTATAAGTACCTACTCTGCCAGAAGAAGCAGGCAGATAAAGAATATATCATAAATGATTTTTTATCCCCAGAAAATAAAAATATTAGAGAATGGTATGTAAAAGAGTTTGAACCTAGATTAGTAGAATTATTTCACTCGAGATTTAACAAATAGAGAAAAAAGGGAAACAGAGGAAAATGTTTTTTCGATGGGCTAAGAGACACCCTAGGCCAACACAATATCCCTATTCTTGATTTTGAAATAAATACACTAGAAACTCAATATACAGTATTTAATACTACTGAAGGAAATACAATTAAAGCCATATATATATATATATATATGGTGCAGTTTGCAAACGGATGCATTTGTAGGTGTAGAGGTAAAGATATATATAGGGTGCAGTTTGCATACGAATGCATTTGTAGGTATAGAGGTAAGGTGCACCTTCAAATTTTATCATGGTATATAATTTTGATGTAAAATTTTTTAGGATTATTTTAAAATCTTCTTTTTTTATCTAATTATAAAATTTTAAATTTACAAAAATAGGTTAAAATTAAGTAGATCTATAAACATATGAAGGACGGTGTAGATTAT